GCCACGTCAGTGCGATTTTTTCATGCTAAAATCATACTGTTATTACGTTATTACCGGTGAAATTGAGAAACGGAACTTTGATTGATCGAACGCGGTCTGTCGGAATGGAACGTTAACGAGATGAGGTGGCATATCAGCTTAACCCTCAAAGCAGTGTTCTTGTCCGTGAATCTTGAGAGCTTGCGTTTCCTGCGTTATAGTGGCTCATGAATATAGATCAGGAATCGGATGATTTGCCTTTTCTGGCCATGGGGAGGACAAGACAACTAAAGACTTACAAGAACGGTAGTCCTTTAGTGGTTTTGCCTAGGGATCGCCGATACAAGTGGCAAAAGTAACGCTTCCAAAGAATTGGCTGTGTGACAAGACCGGCATGATTTTGAGAGCACAGCAGTCTGAGATACGCTTGTAATAAATCACTTATACTTTATTTCGATAGAAAACTTTTATGACTGTTTTGCCACTTTGCCACGATGCGATGCCAGAAGACAGTCTGGTATGACTGGTGCACTCGCAATAAAGTAAAACGAAAGCTTTTAACCGTTGAAATGAAATGCAAGTCTTTCTTACTCTCTCTGGCGCTCTTCTCTGCATAAAGATAATGATGAAGCGTTGAGGAACTTAGTTTCCATGCCATTAGTTAGGAGTGCTTTTTTTCAAGGGCCGAGTCGACAACAGCAACGGAAGGGAAGCCAGAGTTTTTTTTTTGGGGGGGGGGATGGCTCTCATCCAGCAGTAGATTGACAGAGCTAATGATGAAAATTATTTACATTTATATTGTGTAAATACTTTTTTTTAAACAAATAAGTGGGCTACTGTTGTAACGTAACATTGATCGAAGTCATTGCACCGGGTTACATGGCATCATTGTACTGGCCTTTGCGTGTAGATACATAAGAAAGCCGTTACCTGTTTATTCATATCGTTACAATATTTCATTCACAATCTTTCTCTTTCATTACACGGCGATTATTCGTTTAATTATGACTGTCATGTAAAACGTACTAGTCTTGAAAAACAGAACTGCACTACGTTCATGAAAACAAAGCGTAGACGGTCTGTGGTAATTGAGACAGGTCAAGCAAGCGACTGATGGTTGCAAAGGTTCGTTTTTTCATCTGTGACGACGGATCAAAAGGCTGGTGATCTTCAGGATGTATTTACCCGTTGAGGTGCGATAAACAACGAGTTTCGCCGTTGACACAA